AGACATCAGTTCGCTACCTCGAAGCCCCTACAATCTGCATTAGTTGCGGGTGTATATTCGCATACAAACCTGAGTCAGCGGAATTGCATCGATGTACTCCATCAGTACTGCATGCCGGTTGGTGTCGACGGGTTCAGGAACGGGAAAGCCATGAGAGTGAAGGGCCTTGAGGTACGCAAACTCTCGAGCAGCTGCTAAGTGCGCGAGGTAATGCCAGCTACAGTGAGTTCTGTGTTGCATGTAGTCTCTGTTCTTCTTGATGGAGCGAAAGGAAATGCGGCCTACAACCACACACACCTACAAAAGCAGCGGTTGCTCTCTGCTCTGTCAGCATGCAGCGTCTCGCCATCCCGTTTCTTCGTTTTTTTGCAAAGTGCTGCAAAACTGCAAACCCTACTCCATAAACTCTTAAGCCCCAACTCCCAAACCCTCTCGTAGCACTTCTATTCCCTTGAAAAAGCACCCACCCAATCTGTGCAGCTTCAAAATTAACACGGCGCCGTCTGATCCCTCACAAAGATGAATGTCTGACTCCTTGCCGACACCAACGCGAACTCCAACGCCTTTAATGAGGCCTCTCTTCAGTAGCGCGTTGAGAGCAAGGTAATCATAGCCTAAGTACGTCAACTTGTACCCATCGTACGACTTAGAACAGTGGAAGACGAGTTTGTTCTTTAACAATATACTCAGGATCTGACGGATAGAGTGCCGGCGCAAACCTGCTATCTGCTCTATCAATTGTGCGGAAACAAACTCATGGTTCTTCATACCCATCTCCACAGCAGTCAACACACGAAATTCCCCCTTCGTCATATACCGCAGCACGTCCGCTTGCAGCCTCATCTTGAATGTGAATGCGTAGTAATGTAAGCAGCTCCCTTTGGGTCTTTCAATCAAATTCAATCAATTACTTAGCGTCCATATAGTAATATAATTTCGTTTTATAACTAATCAAACAATAATAAACAAGAAAGGAGTTTTTTACCACTGCCAACGTTCAACTCGCGCAGCTGATGCAGCGCCAGGCAGACGGAAACGAGGAGCTGATGCGGATTCTTTTCTGCTATTCCTCGAAATTTCTTCATTTAATTAATTGCAAAATAAGTTTTGAGAAGATTCAGAGGAAAAGCAACCCCATAATAAACCCATTGTGCAGCCCCACAGCGAGCGAAAGAGGCGGTGAAGTTGAACTGGAATGAAACAGCGGATTCGTGAGTTGTAGCTGTAAATACTATATCAAGAATTTCATTGATTTCAGAACAATAAAGCAAATAATTAACATCACTATTCCCCTTCTCTTCTGCATATGCATCGCCTTCACCGCCGACTCGAAGCCCTGTTAATACTATGGGGGCCCCAATGATGTACCAGGATGTAGCAGGGCCAGGCAAGCAGGCTGCTATACACTGATTAACCCGGGGCCTTTGTCTGCTGTTTTCTGCCTAGGTACGTGTGAATTCATCTATTAATTGTGTCTTTTTCAATTAATTATTTGTCTTTTTCTCCGATTTTTCCCCCCTTAGCGATGATCACCCGCTCACCGCTGCACGCGGTGTCGTCCGTCCACTGTGCATGCAGTTTGAAGACGAAAGCTGAAATGGTACAAGAGGCCAATCGTCCCAACTTCTTGCAGTTTTGCTGCTGCTGACTCGCTGCTGCAGCGGCACTGTTTTGAGTGAAGCTGCAGTACACACGCATCGGCAGCAGCAGCATTCTAAACCTACACACACCAATGGCGAAGTCTGAAAGCCCAGACACTTCTTCCTCTCGCAGCAGCCGTTCCTCCCAAGGGTTCGTTCCCCTAGGCGAGGGCATCCGGCGCCGGGGGCCCCATGCGGGCCGCAGGGGTCCCCGTTTCTCTTCTGTTACTGAGGGCCCTGCCGGTCCAGGAGAGGGCCCCGAAGGAACCCCTCCTGTTTTTGTAAAGAGAGAAAGCGACAAAAAAGATAGCCCTGTATTCAAATCTCCTATGCAGGGGAGATCCTCTGCTGCCTCTCCTGCTTCAGACGCTTTACACGCCTTTGGCGACAGCAAGGAGGAGCGAGGGGCCCCTCCAGGGGCCCACTGCAATGCAAACCCTTCCTCTTCGTGGTATCCCCCCGCTAATAACGAAGACTCCTTCTCTGATTCTCCTCAAAACTCTGAGACTCGTAGACAGTCAGTGAGAAGCCCCCCCCAATGGCCCCCAAAGAGGGGCCCTACAGGGGCCCCTAGGGGGGTTTGGGGTTTGAGGGGCCCCCCAGGAGAGGATAACAACCAAGCCTCCCCGCATGGATTGAACTTTGCTTATTCTTCTCCTCAAACAGATACAAGAGAGCAGCATACAGGAGAGGAGGGGAGGCATATGGCTGGTGCAGTGCGGCCTTTGTCTATTCGAGAGGGGTTGCAGCTGCTGCAGCAAATTGTAGCTGGAGTTGCAGCTTCCGGGCGTTTGTGGGCTTCGTCTTTGCTCGGCGTGGCGAAGTGGTGCTGTATTATTTTGTTTGCTATGTTGCTGCTGCTGGGGTGTCTGTCTTGCTTCTTTCTGCTTGCTGCAGCGACTAGCTATTACCTCCTCTTTAGCTATACTTCTCCTCCCCCTCTCCACCAATTCCCGGTGTATTTTGATTATTATCCAGCAGTTGGACTGGCGTTGACGTCTCAGCATAGAGAGCCTTCAAACCCTTTACCGTTTGATGAGCTCCGTGCAGGGGGCCCCCCTTCCTCATGGGGCCCCCAAGCCCCAGCGGGAGAAGAAGACAATTCAAAGTCAAAGAATGAAGTGCCCCCTTCTCCTTTCTCTCAAGCAACAACACCTGCAGCAGCAGCAGCAGCAGGAGCAGCAGCATCCTGCGGTGTTTCAGGGGGCCTCTTGCATGCATTTGACCCCTTGGGGGCCCCCCAGGGGGCCCCACAGAGGGCCTCTTGGGGGCCCCAAGGGGGCCCCATACCCTGGAGGGGGGCCCCCGGGGGGCCCTCTGATTTGAGGGGGGGGCCCCCAGGAGAGAGTTGGCCTTCCTTTGAACAGTCTCTTGCTGTTGCTACAATACCCTTTAGCAATCGCACGTGGGAGTTGCTACCTGAAGACGGAGATCTATTTGCTGCACCTCTTCCTTGTGTCTCCTCTCACTGGCAGCACTGCCAAGAGCAGCAGCAGCAGCAGCAGCAGCAGCAGCAGCAAGAACGGCAGCAGTTTGTCTCTCTTTCATTGCTCGATTCAGAAGAAAAGGCGAAGGTGCCTTCATTTGCATCGGACTTTGTGCTGTCAGTATCATTCCCCGGCTGTTGCTGCAGCAGCAGCAGCAGCTGCAGCAACAGCTGCAGCAGCAGCAGCAGCAGCGGGTCAGCTCCTACATCGATAGCGATGGTGTCTCTGCTGCTGTTCGGCCCTAATGGGCGTCTGCTGGCGCGCAGCAGCCGGTCTCTGATGAATGCAGCAGCTTGCTGCTGCTCTTTAATGATGTCTCTTGTCTCGTTTCTTGTAGGAAGCAGCAGCTCAGAAAGAGAGATACAAATGATAGAGGGCCTTAGCTACTCTGTTGTCTCTCAGCTGCAGTTTGCTCGGGTGTATATGTATCCTCCTCTCCCACTTGTAGGGGCATCTTTAATCTTACAGCCTAAACCACAAGGCCTCCGTCTCTTTATTATTCATCATCCTTATATCTCGCTGCTGCTGCTCACGCTGCTGCTCTTTGCTGCTGCTGCTGCTGCACTCGTCTGCTGCTGCTGCTGCGGATACCTCCTTACCCTACCCAGGGAAGAAGAAAACAACAGCAACCCGCAGCTAGATGGGGGGCCCCCTACGCTCTTCCAGGGGCCCCACACGGGGCCCCCCGATCCAACTCTAATTGGCAGCATTGAGGGTGTAAGTACACCTCAGGCGAATGCATACATCTGGGGTGTACGTGCAGACGCAGCAGCAAACAACGTGCGGCGTCGAGCCTCAGCAACTACATAACAGCAGCAAACTTATTGTTTTATACAAATAATATTTTCATAACAAATCCCTGTATGTCTCCACTGCAACCAACCTAATTACAATCTACTTAACGCAGCAGCAGCAGTAGCAGCAGTAGAAGCAGCTGTTGCTGCTGCCGCAGCAACAAACACTCAGACAGCAGCACCTCTAGAATTAAACAAGAAGCTGAATGCCCCGTTCAGTCTGCAGCCGCAGGCAGCAGCAGCCTCAGAGCAAATCTAAAGGCTGACGCTGTTGCAGCAACCCTCAGAGTTTGCTGCTACCCCCTCCCGCTTTGGTGGTGCTTGCAGCTAAAGAGGGGGGCCCCCTGCGAGGGGGGGCCCCATGGGGGGCCCCCCTCCCGCTGATTGTATATCTTCCGCCAAAGCTCAGCAATAACTGTAAAGACGGCAGAAGAGCTAGGGTTTAGGGTTTAGGGTTTAACCCACGCGGACCTCGGGGTCGTTCAGGTAGTCGTGATACACCAGCTTTGCGTCCTCAGGAACCCCTGAAACGCAAACACCGCCAGCGCCAAACCCTAAACCCTAAACCCTAAACCCTAAACCCTTGCAAACAACCCTAAACCCTAGATAGGGTTTTTGCTTGCCTTTTCTGGTGAAGTATTTAAAAGCTCGCTGATATATCCTTGTCTTCTTTAACTCATCCAAGGACAGCTTCTCCAGTGTTAAGTCCTCGCTGTCTGTACACCCCAGAGCAGAAGCAGCACCAGCAGCAAGCCCGCTGCAGCAGCAGCAATAGCAGCAGCAACAACAGCAACAGCCGCACACCTGCCGCCGCCGCAGCAGCAGCACACCCGCTGCAGCAGCAATAGCAGCAGCAGCAGCAACAGCAGCAATAACAGCAAACGAACCTCTGAACGCATACACCCGAGTTAGTTTACCGCCGCGGCATTCAAACAAATTAATTTGATTTTTCCCTCCTTCCACCTCTTCAAAATCTAAGCAAAAAGAATGGTCCTGAAAGCACAAACCCTAAACCCTAAACCCTAAACCCTAAACCCTTTACTAACCCTTAAACCCTAAACCTTCCGATTCAAACACCACCGACACCCGGAGAAGACAGACACGCAAACCGCTCAAAACCCTTTGCTGAGCTCCAAACCCTAAACCCTTAATTGGGGTTTATTAAGCTTAAAACAAAAGGGCTGTTCAGCGATCTAGGGTTTAGGGTTTAGGGTTTGACTTACCTTGCTCTCCTCTGCTATGAGACGCTTGGTAATGCGAACAGAATGGTGGAAGTCAATCAAGCTGCAGCAAAACAAAACCCTAAACCCTAAACCCTAAACCCCAAACCACAAAAGGCCCCGCATCATGGAAACCCTCGGGCGCCCTCTGACGGCTATCCCTAAACCCTAAACCCTAAACCCTAAAGCCCCGCGTACTTTTTAACGAATTCTTCCCTATTCGCAGGGCTCCCCTGGCGGTCTTCGGAGTAGAAGTCCTGCACCGTCCAGCAAACCCTCAACCTACAAACCCTAAACCCTAAACCCTGAACCCTGAAACCCTAAACCCT